AATACTTCTGTATATTTATATATAAGTTCATATATTGTCTTAAGGATAGAAGAGTATGCTGTGTATATAGCAACCCAATGTAATTGGGCAGCAATCCTTTATATTTTATATTTTATGAAAATAAAGTGTTTCTCTCTCTCTTAAGAGAACTATACAACAAATTAAAGAAAACCTTTTATTTAACATTACTGTTAAAGAATTAATTTCTCCACTCAAAAATAAATTTTAAAACATGTCAATTAATATCAAAAATAAGTTATTCATTGAAGATAATTATATCGCCGCCATCATGATAAAGTAATGAATATGAGCCTGTTTAACGTTAAACATTACTTACTTTTAACACGGTTAGTATTAACATGGTTACTTTTCACATATATGCAATTTAACATCAATTTCTGATTATTTCTTACTTAATATAACTTTGTTTCCAGTACTTGAAAACATCAAAGCAGAGATAGCCAAATGCTCCTCTTATTACTGAGTACCAAGTATTACTCAATTACTGACCTTTTTAGAGTATCAAAGAATTTAATTACTAATTCATTCGATATCAAAGGATTAAATGAATTAGTGATTGAATCCACAATAGTGATTTAATTTGAGTAAAATACTTGGTACTTGGTACTTGGTACTTAGAGTAGCATTTCTCCATCTCTATATAACAGTTACTCTTTTATACAAAACCCAGAGCTTTATTCCAGAACATTTTCCTTGGAACTTTAATTTAATTTAATTTTTTTTTTTTTTTTACAAGAGAAGCTCTATTGAAATTGTATAAAGTTCCAACTTTCCTGTTTTTTTTTTACTAGCCCATGATCTGTGAATCTAGGAAGGGTAACATACGAACATACATAAATAAAATAATACATAGAATCAAATGGTGTTATTAGTATTACTTGGTATTCAAGAAAAATTCATCCAAACTCTTATACAGCAGACATACATATATTTAAAAAGAATACGTAATACAATTTCTATATCCAAATTTACAAGTGAAAAGAAAATTTAGGAAATATCCTGTTTAAAAAAGAAGGAATGAGGGTGGATTCCTAAGGTGGTGAGATCCTCAGAATTTCTTTTGTAACATAAAGTGAAATTTTCTTTTTAAATTATATTTCACTTTGTCTTTCTTCCCTTCTTTTTGTAAACACGGCTCTTTAAGGGAAACCAGGGAATGAAAAAGAAAAAGTTGGACGATAAGAAACATGTATACAATCTACTACAAAGCATCACATAACTTTCACTTTTAATATTAATTAGTTTTTTAAAAGTTAATAAACCATACGAATACTAAATAATTTTAATTTGTTTTTAATATGTACAAACTCAGGAAGATCAATATAAATTAATATAATTCGGTACACTGTACATTTTGGTTTAAGAAACTGAAAAAGAAATATAATTTTGATATATTTTCTGTGAGAATTCAAATAAGTTTCTCAGAATTTATTTTCCATTAAAAAAATAAAAATGTATACATCTCACCTAGACGACATAAAAAGAAAAACAATGACCTTTTAGCGAGACTTGGATAATTAAAATTTGCAAAAGATTTGATATTAATAATTTACAACAAGATTCGGTTGTTTTAATAAAGTTTGAAAGTCTAGAAAAAATCGCCAACTTAAGTTATATACAATAATTTATATGGCATTAATTAATATATCAAAGTCTAATAAATAATATAACCTATTATAATATTTTGGCATGTCCACGTTATAACTTTATATTTAATTCTTCTTTTACCTGAAATATTACTAATTTTTTTTCTAAGAAAAAAAAATTGCACAGTAAAAAATTGTTTACCGATTTATAGAGAATTGACTGTACAGTATAAAACCGTAATAATTAAAATAACTAGGGGCGAGCCCCAATTTTAAAAATTTGTTCTTTTAATTGTACTACACGTTGCTCAAATTGTATAAATTTAATTTACATTTATTCTGTAGTTCAGATTTAATTGTTTTTTCTCAACATAAAATAAACTGAACGGAGCGACAGTTCATATTGTATTCAAGGGAAAATGTCTACATCGAAAAATAACTGTTGTCACCTAAGTATAATCAAACTACCAAATCCGGATTAATACCATTTCTAGTATAAATGTATACATACAATATTTACATTGTATTAGGAGAGTAAGAGGTAACAAATTCAACACATATGTGATAAAATGAATAAATGAACAGCTGTATAATTTGTAAAATAATCGCCCAATATGTTCAGTTCCAGTTATCTTCTACTCTTCTAATACTAAAATAAATTAAATTTGAAAGTCAATAAAAACATGTTTGTATAAGAGAGAGATATATACCAGTAGATACTGGATTCAAGGCATTAACACATCCAGGTTGAGTACAATATCCTCCATTGGGGTAGAAGTCTGCATGACCCAGGTCTTCAGCATAGGACAGCCCTATGCAGGTATGGATCACATCCACGAACTCTCCATCACCTTTATCCAGCCTGGAATCCTCTCCACGTATCAGCGCGAATAGAGGCATTGCTGGGTCCAAGCCTTAAGTAAAAAAAAAAAAACGTAAATAACAAATATAGAAAAAAAAAAAACTAAGGTGTGGGCTTTAGAACACACGATAGAAGTGAAAATATCAAGAAGACGATATTAATAATATGAAATATAAATTATAAATAATAGCCCCTTGCAGAGAGAATGGAATGCTGAAAGATTCCCTGGCTTACATGATGTAAGTCCGATTTTTAATTTATTAGATATTTTAATCCATCTCTTCAATAAAATTCGTTATAATTTAGTTTTCGACAATATTTTTTCTGTTTGGATCCCTAATATAGCGCCGCGTTAAGATAGATGTCGAATAACAGCTCACTAAAGAAAGGATGAAATATTGAACAAATCCTTTGCTTACATGATAGTGATGGGCAGAGCTGTCTAACATCAGTAGCAGTTGCTACAGTTTCTGCTACTTTAAAAAACAATTTCAAAAAACAGATAGGACTGATTCGAAATTCGACAAGCAATAAAAAAAAAAATATAGTTGAAGTGTCTTTAAAGTAATGATCAATTTAAATGTTAAATTTAATCATACTTTTTTTTAATTTTACCATAATATATCAACTGTGGGGTGAAAAAAAAGTATTTATAATTGCTGATAAAAGCCAAAGTTACATTAAATTTATAATTTTGAATCATAATATTTTTTAAAGGCGTTATATAAATGTATAAGTGAAAACAATGAACAATTAGAACTGAACTGAGAAATGTTTCTCAGCTCCTGGAGCTGTTTAAATTAAACAGATTCAGTGTTTCCTTCTTTTCTCGTTGGGATCGCTGTCTCCACCTACTAACTACACTACTTACATGTAAACTGACTTGTCTTGGGTAGGTTCCTAAACTCAGCACTGAGTTCATCAATGGCTTCGTTTTGCTCTGTTTAGAGATCTATTAGATGGCATCGATGAGTTCAGCTCTGATTTTAACAGCAACTTCTCCCTCCTAGTAGAAGGTAATCTTTGAATCTGTTTAATCTCGAGTGAAACAGTTTCCTGTAACTTTTTAATGAAAAAAAATGTTTAAATTAAACAGATTGCTACTAACAATCCCACCACAGTCCGATCTTTGCCTCTATTAGCGACCTGCCATTCAACACTCCAGTTACCACCTATATGCCGATGATTTCCAAATTTACCAATCATTCCAATCTTCTGAGATGCCTGAGACTGCCCGAAAGCTACAAGAGGATATCGACAGCATCAATAGATGGAAAGAAATAAATTAATTAAAACTGAATGCAGATAAAACTAAGGCAATTCTCATCGGGTCCAGACATCTCATTAGCTCACTTCCTCACTTCTCTATATTTAAGCTCAATAACCATCCCTTCCGTTTTTTCCCTACAGTCTATAATCTTGGAGTAACCTTTGACCAGAACCTCTTCTGGAATACCCATATCTCTCAGATTACCCAAAAATCTATAAATGTCCTTAAACAACTTCTAAGATTCCGAGATTGTACTTCTCTAAAAACCAGACAGCTCCTTGTAACCTCCCTTATATTCTTCCACTTCAACTACGGCTGTTCGGTGCATGGAGGGCTATATACCAGGCTAGAAATGAGACTGAAGAAGCGCATGAATTGTTTCATAAGACACATCTTCGTAATACCCAAGCGTTCACATGTTTCATTCTAGTACACCAAGTTGAAGTGGCTTTTTACTACTTCCCAACGACAATTCCTCATTGGTGTTTTCCTTTTCCTTTGGTTCTTATGACCAAAAACCTTCCCTACATCCTGGAACTCCTTATTCTAAGTTCCCTTCATTCTATTCACTCTCTTAATATCAGGATTCAACCTACAGATTTATATATCCCCTCCCATAAAACAACTTCCTTCAGCAAATCCTTCATTGTACTACCTCCTTTCAAAACTTTCTACCTACCTCCATACATCAATCCTCGTCCACAAATTCCTTCAAACAACTCCTGTTCCGTCATCTACTCCATATTCAAACTTCTGCAAACATGTAAAATTACTTGCTTCTGTTTAATTTCAATCTACTGCACAATTGCAATAACATTCGACAGTTAATAAGTTTGTATTTTTTATTATTTTGTCAGACTAAGACCCATAAATTTGTAACTCTATTATTATTCTTAGGATACAATAGTCCCATAGTATAATTTTTTTTTTATTTATTCATTCACTATTATCGGATGCAGATCCAATTTTTATTTTTATTCATATCTTCTTTCATATTTTATTTTTATATATTTTATTTATTACTCTTACACATTTTGCGATATTTCCCACACATTTTTAAGTTAATTTTTTGTAAGTACTCTTGTAAAAATTTTAAAATTTTAGTTAGGTAAAAAAATATTTTAAATCCATTTCTTTAAATGTTTCTACAGATCCGAATAATATTTTTATTCAAATATAGAACACCGAGACGATGTAATCGAAGTGTCATTTTATGTAAGATAAAGATAGAATATATAAAAATAAATAAAATGATACTGACCCGTCACCCTTGCCACCAAGCCACGACCTGCAGACTTTATGTATCCACCAATCAGACCAGCCACGTGAGCTCCCAGGCTGTGCCCTATCACATGGATTTTCTCCAGTTCAGAAACTCCTTCATCCAGTATCTTGAGGATGGTCTTTCCGACGTAGTGTGCAACTTTTTTCAAGACCATGGTCGTCATAGTGTATTCGTTCTTCGATAACGAACCCCATCCGATCTCAACGACGTTGATGTCATCTTCGTTTAGAAGATAGGCTAAAAAAAAAAAAAAAGAAATGAATTATATTAAAGCCAATTTATTTTGAATAATATTAAGAATATGCTTGAAATGAGAAATATTATTCATATTTAATTATTTATTACTCAATTGGTGCCTTTTAATATTTAACTTTACCTTGCGATGCTCTGTATTATTAAGTATATATTTAATAAGTTTATTTATTGGTATATTAGTGATTAAAGATGAAAAACTTCGATATCATAAACGCTCGTGTTTAATTATTTTCAGAAGAAGTTAGGGATGCGGTAAAAAAATACTATATAATAGTATATTTATTGCATTGTCTAACGTTTCGACCTACCTATCGACTGTTAGTCTCATGTGCACAGTATGTGTTTCATTATTGGGCACATAAAGAGAATGGATAGGAATAGGTTAAACAAACTAATGTTTGATAATTTGATGGAAATGAAGAACGTAAAAGGATATTCGAATAAAATAAGTAGACAAAAATAAGGCATCAAAGAGAAAGGCTACCAAGATAAGAAAATATCGGGAAAATACCAAAAAAAACATAAAAGTTCTTTCATGGAAGAAAAAGAAGCAAGATGGTAAGGAATGGACAAAGGAAAGAATAAAGGAGATGGGAGAAAACAATGAAGCTAATATGGGCAAAAAATCCTTTGAGATGGTATACCCGTGATTTATATTAACTGATACTTTTGCTGGTCATACCATTCTCACAATATATCAAGATCTTACACCGGTTTCACTAACTAACTTACCTGAATTACTAGAATGGTATTTCCGCCTTAGAATTAGATTAAATCATTAAAAATGAAAGGATGTAACATTAATTCTTGGACGAAATTCTTGTTCTCTAGCTTATTTAAATACAATCTAATCGCCAAACAGACACTTACATACAATTAGACTTAACTACATTTCATGGATGATGAAATAGAATTTGATCAAATTAATATGGACCATCCGCATCCAAACTAACAACCTCAGTAAATTTCATTTGAGATTAATTGGTCATTTAGATTTTGCAAATGAACCAAGGAACCAAATTTGTTAGTTGACGTCTTAAACGATCCGTAGTACGGAAGGAAAGTAAATAAATATTGCGCAGTCTTATTGTTGCTTTAATTAATTACTGTACAATATCTCTTCGATCTGTATACTGTTTAAGTGTTAGAACTATTATAAATGATCCATTAAAAAATAACGAAGTAATAGTAATATGAATTATATTTGAATAATAATAATTTATTACTGTAGAAAACGGGACTTGAACCCGTACCGAAACCGAAGCCTGCAGTAAGATTAAGTACCGATTCGCTCTCTATAAACTATCAAGCTGCACAATTGAAGACCATTATAGAAACAAAGCTAATAGCTTCAAGTTTATGCCATCGCTTTTCAAACACAAGAGAGACTAGACCGGCATCTCTTAGGGAAGGAATTACGATTTCCAAAGGTTCTAGTATTGTATTATTCAAACAAAACCTTAGATCTTATTTAGTATTTTAATAAAAAATATATATTTTTATTCTTTTCATATTTTTATCCACAACTTGCACAATATTGACAATAAGCATATGTGATAATAAAGTAAAGGGAATTGGAATTTTAGTCATGAGGAAGAATAATACCCAGCAGCACATCTTCCTGGTCTTTACTTTCTCACTTCAGGAAAGGAGATCTCTCATCCAGCTCCTCTTTAGTCGTCTACTGATGAGAATTTCATCTGTGGCCATGTCGTTGTTAAGTCTGTTGTGATGTCCGTGTAGTTTAAAATGGAATAGAGAGTAGACAAGAGACTGACATGGAATCCACATACCAGATTTAAAAGACAAGAACTTAACCGACGATCCAGCTATATAGACTACAGAACAGAAACTCACACCTTTCAATTGAAAAAAAAATACTAATATACAGGACCATACTAAAACCCATCAGGACCTATGGAATCGAATTTCGGGGGATAGCTAAACCTTCGAACAACAATCTCATCTAATCCTTTTAATCCAAAGTCTTTCGAACAATAGTCAATGATCCATACTACGTCACAAATAAAACCCTACATCGTGTTCTCAACATCCCATTTCTTCATGACCTGATTCCATTAAGATTCTCAAACTTCCATCAAAAACTTATCCATCATTCTAATCCATTAGTGCAATCCCTCTCCAGTTCCAACCATCCATATATTCCCCACAAAGATGGAAAAGCCAATGTCCCCGAGACCTTTTGTAAATACGCTATTAGAGTTCTGATAGTGGCCAGCTTCTCCACTCAAGTCCTGAGTGTACGTGGCTTTAGCGTTCTCACTCAGCCTCCACTGACTTTCAAACAGTGATCCGACTGGGAAAGAAGCGCTGGGATCTCTTTGGACCCTGATTTGCCTCTCACATGAGAGTGGCAAAGCATGGTTCAGGTCTGAATGTAAATATTGTATACAGGAATGAGTGTGACAAATATATTTTTTTTTCTTTTTATTATCCTTTTAAAGTATTTTTCTTTTGATTTTTACAAGTATCTTATATTTTTGTTACAGTTTAATTGTATATATATTTTACTTAGATGTTTTCTTTTTATTTATTTTTCTAAATTTGTATATAATAGTATGAATGTACACATAGAGCATTAATGCCCAATCCCCTTGTTTGTGGCAGATTATATTATTATTCTTCCAATAAAAATATTATAGAAAAAAAACATTAAACATTTGATCAGTTATTATTATTTTCATTAACAAATAGCGGTAGGAGGAAACAAATATAATGATTTAAATATATTATTAAATATCTGCTTTAAAAACAAAACATTCCATTCCATTTATCATCATAAATACTTATATATCGCTATATTTTTTAATATATTTTTTATCTTATCCTCGCTCGCGATTATGCATGAATTATTTACCCTACATTCCAAACACGTTCTCCAATGGCTTACTGAGATCCTGCTGGAATTTTCTCTATATCCTAGCATCGTTTATTATTCCTTGAAGTTTACTATTATGCATTCCAGTCCTGCAAACGGCTGAAGTGACCGATATATTAACAGAATATTAAAGATAATTCTTCTTTATGTTATCTTCTTTATGAGCTGAATAAATACAAAAATTTAAACTTCAAAAGATATATATAAAAATATAATGAATTTTATTTACATTCTAAACGTCATAGAGCAATTTTTAAACATTTACCCACAAGTGCTTGCCCACATTAATAATTGATTAATGAAACAGAAAGTATTATTAATTTTCAAATGAAATCATTATGTTAGTATGAATTCTCAAGAAACTTCTGCATTACTTTCTCAGATAGTTCAAAATCTTAATTCAATATTAGATTCAATAAACTTTGGATTCCGTATGATAGTTGTTGAAGTTAAATCGCTCAAATGATACCCAATTATTGTCATTCGAAGGTTTAATGAAATATTCTGTAGTAAACATCGTTTTCTATCAAAGTATTTAAGTATCCGTCTTAACTTTGGAAATGGTAACTTATAATATCGTAAATGACAACATTTTTATTTAATAAAATTCTCGAGAATGGGGCGTTTCCAGTCTTAAAATCGGAAAACTTTGTCTATTTAATGAAATACTAAAAACTCATAAACATATTTTTCTTTCCCTTGATTGAACATATTGAGTTTATTTTATCACGAAATCGTGAAAAAAAGTTGTCTTAAAGAATGTTGGCTATTTGGCAAGACCTACTCCCCAAACAAGTCAAAATAACGTGGTTATATAAGCAAAACTTTCCAATAATTTTGTAGGCTACCTTTTTCTCAATTTTGTCATCACATTATCTTACAATACGATCAAATATTTACTCATGAGTTTTTATTAAATTGATTAATTTAATGTGAAAACGACTCCTTTCTGCTAATTTTCTTTGAAAAATGAGTACTAGATTTTGGTAAAGTGAATCCGTTTAGGAAGATTTAGATAGATGTTGATAAATTAGGGTCTGGACCTCGGAATATAATTACAGAGAGCGAAATACTTTATTGAAAGTAGTGCTTCCCTAGGATTGCTTTTTACACAGTATACTGATCAATCCATATGAACATAGCTCTTACATCATATTATTCTATTATTGTAAAAACATCTTCTTCTCATTCTTTTTTAACAACACTAATCCATATACAATATCATTTACAACATTTCATTAATTAATTACCATTATGTAATACACATATCTTACAAAAAAAAAGTATTGGAATGTTAGAAATACAAGACTAAATCGCACACATATATCAACATCATTCGTTGAATATAGACAAAAAGATACGATAAAGTTAAAAAATCAAAATTAAATAAAGGATGACATGGGGCCCACAGGTTAAAATGAAGCGTATGACACTTAACAAACGACTCAAACTACTTTACTCTCTTTTTGCCAAATCTTCAAAACTAAAACTAAAACAGAAACTGAATACATATACATACTTACTTAAGCCCATATGGACATACTCATCACAAATATACGGCATCGCTAAAGACCCACCTACAAAAACTTCAAACATTCCAATCAAAATTATTGCGACTCATAGCAAAAGCACCTTGGTACGTGACTAACAAAACTCTACATACTGACCTCCACTTTCCAACAGTTGACCAACATATAACGACCCTATATCAACGATTTTACACAAATTTAAATGGACATAATAACAGACTTATAAGAGACATGGCCACAGCTGACATACTTCAGAACATGAGCAGGAGACTAAAAAGGTGTTGGATGAGGGATCTCCTTCCTTAGACAACCTAGGTAATTGGAACAAGTTAGGGAAGAGGTACTGCTGAGTACTTTCCTTCCCCATGCCTGTCATGTCATTATATCATTATCGCCATCACATTTGCTGATTGTCAACTTATTGTTGACAGGGGCAAATATATATTTTATAGACAAAAAAAAAAAAAAAATAAATAGATAAATGACAACGGTCATTCTATATTCACACTCAATTGCTATACAAGTTCTAGTGGATGATCCCTAGGGAGTCCAGAACAGTATTCCGTTTTGTTCCCGAGGAAGCTCAATGATCTTTTTAGGATCGTTCCGCGAGACCCAAACCAGAGGGCTCTCACGGTGAACATTATCTCTCCAAAGGTCTCGCGACGAGGTATTATCCAATAATTCTATTTCTTTATAATGTCTTTAATGTATTACTAGTAGGCTCGTGCGAAAAATTCGCACAGCATATTGCTATCAAATGCCAAATTAATAATAAAATAATGCAACGTATCAAAAGATACATGATTCAATTGTTACTTTATCGATAAATATAATCGACAAAGGAAACAAAATTAATTTAAATCTTCATTTTTTTTGGAACCAACATATTTACAAATTTCAATAAGCTGTATCTTTGCGAAAAATTGTCCAATTTCAATGTTTTTTTTTTCCTTTTGTAGGAACTATCCGGGTCTAGCTGTACGGATCAAAATCTTCAAGGTCCAATTTGTCTCGCATCGATCTACAGACCTACTACCCCTTCAGTATTGAAGCCTAGCAAAATGTTTGCATCGACTTTATTTATTTTATAAAGAAAAACAAAAGTGAAGAAAACGTTCCGCTAACCCTCCGTGAAATTTTAAATCCAGTGGTACGCCATTCATGGTATCTGAACATGACAGGAGATTATATTTGGTACAAAACCGATTTCGAATCTTACTGTATTAATATATGTAGGGATATTAATAGATTCGAAGTGTGAAGGAGAAATAAGAAGACTTAATTCAACTCACCTTTTCTGATGCCTGCCACACCAATAGATTTCTCGTCTGCAGTCCACCCATGGGTAACAAATTTAATTTCTGAGTCTGGAATGAAAAGTTTTGAAAAGTATCCCTCTTTGTCATCAGGAGTAATATCAATGCCTCCGAGATTTTTTCTAAAAATAATTAAAATTATGATAAATATCATTAATTATTAATCTTCCTCGATCTTTTTCAATTAATTAAAGTGTTTGTCTGGTAAGTGTTGGAGCAGTCGGAAACTTCGAGCTGTTTCTTGTCGTTTCAGTCTGGAATGAGGATTCAAAGTAAGACGTTTATCCAAGTGGAGTTCTAAGTAGTGGATTGGCTCAACAGGAATAAGTGGAGTATTATTGAAGAATACTGTAGAACAGGAAGTTATAAATTGGAATTTTTGTGATTAAGTTTGTATAACACATCTACACCTCCTTTGGTCATATCTTGAAATTCGTTGATTTACATTTTTCTAGTTTACTTCTATCCCAAAAGACCTAAAAGAGATTAAATGAACATATTTATTTCCCTTGGGGATTATGAAAACATCATTGTGTTATCCTAGAAGGCGAATCGAGATAAACCGACAGGAGTTATAGATATCAGAGATGGTGGAATACGAGGATTTTTCTTAGATTTCTCAATTTTTTTTTCTTTTTAAGTATTCTTTGGGGCTCATCAGTTAACTCTAAAGACGTAAATGTATTGAATATTATCCACTAATTTTAATTGTTTTCCCTTTTCCCGTTTACATTGCTTCAGTTCAACGAAGAAATCGTATTCTAATGATTTCTCTGATAGATTATAAAAAAAAATTAGTCTAATTGAATTGTTTTATTTGTAATGAACACATTTCAAATTTAAAATGGTGCTTCCACTCACACGACTTTCCTACCTATTCAAGAACAGTTTTTTATATCTTTACGATATGTTCATGAAGAAACAAAAAAGATTGAATTAGATTTATTTTCATGAAAATTGATCAAAGAAAAGATTGGAGTACGATTTAGTTCATAAAATAAAGCAATGTAAACCGGCTTAAGGTAGATCGGTGTAAAAAGTTCAATACTCTTAGTCTAATTTTGTCAAACAATAATTTCTGTTAAAAAAAGAGGAAATAGTGAAGCTTATGTGATGTGAGCAACAGATTTTCTTACTTTCACTTAGTCATATTTTTCTCTCATTCATCCCTTTCTGACACCAGGATATGAAACCGTAATCTTACATTGGAAATTGAATAGCTGTAACTTCGTTAATAGTTGTCCAAAATGAACAATTTTTATATGTCTTTGTAGGGAATTTATACTGACAGACCAATGTGTAAATGTGTTTTTCGGACTCATGAGGCTCTGAAACGTATAGATATGTCGAAAACCGTATAGGTAATATAAGGTAGAAAAGTAAAAATGTTTAAAGTCGGTAAGAAATTTATGTGACTGGACAAACCAGATTTTTTGCTTAAATAATTGGTGACATCGTACAGATTGTCTTTGCTCTACAATTCTTTCATTTCAAAGTGGGTTCCTGTCACTATCTTTCTTGACAATGCCTTTAATGTATTTTCAAGTTAATTTTATTACTTAGATTGGACTTTACAATGTTTATATCAATAAAACGTATAAACGTACCTATTATGTAGAGATTTTTTAAGATCTAAAGTAACATGTTTAATAAATAGCAATACTTGCGAGACTCTTGCTCAAGACCAAGACTTAATTGGCATTACCCATTACCTCTAATGGCATTTACTGCATTTTCCGAAATTTTTTTGTTATTCGAAAATACCAGTTTTTTTATTTTATGAAATTGATATTTAATGAGAAAAATATTCTTAAATGGATGAATTATTTGCTTTCTTATCAGTGAAAAAAAGATAAAACTAATAGGACATAAATGAAAATTTCAAATTAAGACGTTCTAGGAATATTCATCTCATGAAAATTAAAATTGCTCGATGATTTGTGAGGCGACTCTTTGCTGCATATTGATGAAATGGTCGAGCTCAGATATTTAGAGCTGATAGTGAGCAGTTCTATAATTTAATCATTTCTTCTCTTTCCTCTTAAATAATTCTTACAGAATTGAATCGAATTGAAATTCAGAGAGCTATGATTTTCCTTTCATTTTATTAAATGTAGTATGTTTAGATAGATTCATAATGAAATGAGGATTATAAAATTCGTTCGTTAAGGTTGTATATAAGTTCCCTAAAGAAGGTCTATACGAATCCGGACATTATTATTTCTTCCTATTGCATATAAGTTAGATGGATAGATTATTGATAATTGGATAATAATAGATAAATTTCTTTAAGAATGACAAAATCATACACAAATAGTAGAATACTTCTGAACTAAAAGTTTGACCCAAGAAATAGAATATTTTTTTTTAAACTAGCTATATACACGAAAAATAAACATATGTACAAAACACTGACAAATATAAATGAAATCCATCTAAAATGGTAAAAAACTATACATATTCACTTATGAGAAAAAATAAAGAAAAACATATTAAATTTTTCTGATAAATAAAAAGAGGTTGAAAAACGATGAGAAGTAGCTCAGTAGGTGCTCGCTATATTTGCCGATTTTCAAGCAGCCTAATATTGTGTGGAGAGAAACTGTATTCGGCGGATTATAACTGAACTTGGAGTTTTCGGAAAGTTGGTGAGATTGATGAAGTGCGTGTAGAAATACAGGCGTCCATGATAATCAGAACAAGTATATTATATGGCCTGTTCGGTTTATAAAAATATTCGGATTACCAAAGGCTAATTATAAAATTATTGAAAAATTACATAAGATTTCTTAAATATATATGTTTTCAGTTGAACATACTTAAAATAAATAACTAAGAAAATATCCATACAACAGCCATAAGTTAGGATCATTGAAAAGCTTTGATAATAAAATACTATTCGCGATTTCCTGAGCGATCTGTAATCATAGTAGTAACGTAAGATGGAGAACTATGGTGAAATAAACTGGTCTAGCAATATCTCGTAATGTGAAGGCAAGGAAATTAAGATGGGCAAAATATGTGGATCAGGTCATTCAATCCCGAAGTCGTTTCAGAAGAATGAGCAGTGTGCAGATAAAAGCAAAGCAGTAGCCCAAAATATGGCTTGTGTAGAAGGCCGGTAAAGTTGAAAAAAAAAATGTACAACATTTGTAAAGCCATCTGAAAAAAACATGGTCATATATAAATTATTTTTATCTACAGGGATTTTTAGTGGATTTATTTAGTTTTGCTTAAAATCATAAACATGTTATCATATTATTTGTTTAATTTGTAAAAAATATTAATATTTGTATTCTCTTACATTTTTTTCATTGTAACGTTTTGGGTAACTCTTTCTTTATTATTCAATATAATTACATTACAAACATATATTATTACATCTTAATTCTTTGGCCAAAGTTCATTTATTTTTGTGTAAGCAGAAGAAGTGGTTCTTGAGATAATTGGATTGAACTTTGACAAATTAATGTTAAAACAATTTTCAACTATTTCTTTTCATATTATGATTGTCAAACGTCATATAAGAGTAAGATACTTACTTGTTGAACAGTCGAAGTATTGCTGGATGACTCAACCCGAAAGCAGTGATATTAGGAAAAAAAGGAAATACATCACGATGGAATGGATTTTGATAAACGTAATTTACATAATCATATCTTTCCACTGAAAAAAAATGAACTGCATTAAAATCATTTAAAAATTACATTATTAATGTGTTTTATTCTTTGTAAGGGTTAACTGTTTTTACAGTTATATAAATAATAATTAAATTGGGTAAATTTAATATTAGATTTACACTTCGTAGACAAACCTGCCCTCCAAATTTTAACATAAACAACCAAATTCCTCAGACAGTCATCGTAAGCTACCTTGGTCTTAAATTTGACAGAAGGATTACATGGGGCCGACATGTTAAAATGAAACGGAATACCCTCAATAGACGACTCAAACTACTTTACTCACTTTTTTTTCCAAATTTTCAAAACTAGAACTGAGACTGAAACTAAATACATACCTATTACTTACCTAAAGAAATATGGACTTATTTCTCACAGATATGCGGTATAGCTAAAAATATTACAACTTATATCTAAATCACCTTGGTACGTAACAAACAAAACATTACATACTTCGTCATGCCTAAAGTTGATCAACACATAAGTACTCTATACAAACGATTTCAAAATAATTTACACGGACGTACTAACATATTAATCAGAGATATGGCTTGAGCTGACATGCCCATTAATACAAGGACACTTAAAAGGAGTAGGATGAAAGACTTCCATTCTTAACAAAACATGTACATGGAACATGAATTAATTATTACTTCGAAAATCCGAAAAACAAACTAAGGATTATCTAAAATAACTTATTATTATTAATATTATTCCAACTCAGGCAAAACTCATAATCTAACTACTGTCTTTGAACAGTTTCCATGATAATTACTGAAACGCAATTTTGAAATGATGATTCCCCATGTTCTTTTTTTAAAACTTGTTGATTTTTGAAAGACCGTTTCTCTTGAACAATTTAACTTAAATTTCTCTATCAACTAGAAGCTGACAAACTGCAATAAATTAAGCTTATGGTAATTATTTTTGTAGGAGTAGCTATTTTCTTGAAATTTTAACAAGCACCAAATCGGAACAAAGAAAATTCTTTGATTTTGATTTTTGTCTACCGATGTGACGCACTTCCAAACAAAGCAAACAAGGTTTTTTCGTTTAGCATTTAGGGATAAATCGAGTTCCATGTTGATTTGACAAATACCATCTTTAAATTATGAAATGTTTACGTATTTTGAAATGCACTCATTTTGAGTAGGTAGACTATCGCATACTGAATTCTGAGGATGTACATCATAATAGCGCATGACGGAAACTTTTCTGAAATAGGTGAAAAAAAATTGAATTCGAATAGCTGTAAATAAACGGTTGTTAATTGCAGAGTAAATAGATTTACGATGTCATTGATGAATTATACAACTTACCATTTATCCAAAGAGTTGTTTGAACACAGGCTTTCTAAGCAGTTAGTATCCGTAACTCAACAAAACCTATAAACAAACACAGATGCACCGATGCTTCATTGAATGCGCGATTTAGATGTTTTGGAGTGATAAACTGCCTTTAGTAGAAGCGTATATTTCGGATTTAGAATTTGAAATCATTTCTTACATTGTCGTATTAGTGGTTAAGTATATATATTTATATAGTTAAATATTTGAGAGTTAAAACTATGTATGGAATTATCCAATTTTATTATAACAATTAGATTCAATTTTTTTTTAAATACTATTAATAAATTCTTGAAGTATTCTGATTTTTTTAGTGGTCAAATATATTTCATAAATTTTAAAATATGCAGATCATCTTGATAAAGGTTAACTCTTGAGAGATTAAAAAATAAAATATTCATAAATCTAAAAGCAAAGTTTAGTTGGCGAATGTCTGAAACGTGTCCTGAAATATTAAATATTAAGGGAAGTTTCCGGAGGTATTACGATATTTAAAACAAAAAAATCAAACCAATATACATATATATGTTTTATATAAAAACTAGGGATGGACAATAGTCGATAGTTTTCCTACTGAAAACGATAGTTCGATAGTATCGTTAAAAAACTATCGATAATATCTAAATTTCAGTAACTTTCTGACAAATACTTAAAGAGAATTTATTTTTGCAGAATTCTTTAATTATTTATTTTAATTTGCTGCATAAACTTTATAGTAATTTATATTGGATACATACTTAAAGATTTCTGTTAAGGCACTAATAAAAATTATTTAAAAAATAATTCAAAAAATTATTGACGGAAAAATGCATTTATTTCCCTGTTTGTAGAATTCAAAAAAGAAACATTGACGACATATAGGTAGTATTTTTTTAACTTTTTAGTAAGAGAAAGGCGAGAAATGCTTATATATTTTAATTTCCGAAATTCTAATGTTCTAAACTTATTTTGATAATATCACTTAGTTTAAAATATAATAAAACTGCAATGGCATCATTGTAGATTTTTTAAATATATTTCTTTTATAAAAAAATAAATAAAATACGTAAGATGAGTATAATATTTTTTGGGCACAACTGAAGATGTAAAAATATGTCTAAGAAAGTATTTTAAGATTAAATTATATTAATTTTTTATTATGAAGGTTTTTTCTGGAATCAATTTTATTTCAGTTTTATATATTGATAAGAATAGCTTTAAACACGCCTTCATATCTCCATCCTTTAATTTTTCTAATGCGGCGTTTTCATTATACAATAACGATTTCATATTATCATACATTTAATTTTTACATTATTATATTATCACTATATATCGTACATCAATGAAGAGTTTAAACACGAAAGGCGTGTTATTAAAATTATTCCTTTAAGTAAAATGAAATTTTAAAATAATTTGTGTCAAAAAGGAGGATAAAAACTATCGATTGTCACTAATAATATCGATAGGGCAATCGATGGTTTTATACTATCGACTATTGCCCATCCCTAATAAAAACTAATATGTTATGCTTCACTATGGCTTAGAGTTTTTTTTTTCTGTTTATGAATGAGATTTAATATTCCGATTCGGAAAAAAAGAGTCACTTACAACACACAGTCATTTCAATCCAAAATTTTACGGCTTATAAGAGAACCTCTCTAGTACGTCAACAACAAAACTTTACATAACGACTTACAAAAACCAATTATAGACCAACATATGAGTATTCTCTTCTCTCGTTTTCATTTCAAACTACACGGTCACACAGACTTATAAACGTCATGGTCACTTTCTGACTAATAAACCCATCAGAAGGAGACTAAAAAAAAGGTGGATGAGAGATCTCCACACCTAAATCAAGGTAGTAAATAATAACCAGGAAGAGGTGCTGCTGGGTAATATCCTTCCTCATACCTATAATGTCGATCATTATTTATCACAACACGTCTGGTTATTGTCAAAACCATGACATGTACGGAGACATATTTGAGGAGAAAAAAAAATATCACAATTCCGATCAAAGGTATAAAAATTAAATATTTTTGATAAACCCTTAAAAAATATTACTTAAATGATTACCTCTAGTTTCCCCTGCTGTTATTAAAATACAGAAAATAATTCGTGAAACTGAGAACTCCATTACTTCCTTCGAGGATGACTTAATACGTTTTGAAAACAAGTGACGGCATATTTCTACTATCATATGCATTAAATTATTATATCTCTTATGGTGTATTGTATTAGTGATAGTTATGTTAATTATAATGAATATTAATAAACTAATTTACATATATAACAACCAATTACGTTGGAAAAAATACATTACGATCTCATATTTCCATATTTTGATCCTGTTTGTTATTTCCTGGATTCTAAATTCCAAAGAAGTGTTACTGTATTATAACGAGATGGATGTAAACATCTGATCGTTTATATTGTGACATATTCTGTGACGTTTTTTATCCATCGTTATATTTAAGTAACGCCTTTCCCGTTATTTTGAAGAGCATCAGTAAATACATTATTATTCCGGAACATAGTAATTTCAGTAAATTTATTATATGTGGACGTTAGGGACTGAAAGATTTCATTTTTAAATTACATGAAATTTTTAATAGTGGATAGTCGTGGTAATTTACTCCTGTTTATATAGGCGACAACCAAATCCCTCAGACGGACACTGTACATTATCTCGGGCTAATAGTCGAAAGAAGGACGATCTGGGGCCCACAAGTTAAAATGACACGAAATACTTTAAACAGGCAACTGAAAATACTATATACACTTTTTTCCAAATCAAAACTGAAAATCAGACAAAAACTAAAAACATACACTTACCTACTAAAACCCTTATGGACATAGTCCTCACAAATTTCCGATTCTACAAAAAATAGGCACTTACAAAAAGTACAATCATTTCAATCCCAAATTTCAAGACTAATAACATCAGCTCCTTTGTACATAAACAACAAACCTTACATACCGACTTTAAACAACCAACTATCGACCAACACATACGTACTCTCTACTCCATTTTACTACCGCTTCCATTTTAAACAACACGGACATCACAACGGACTTATCAACGACATGGCCACAGCTGAAATGATCATCAGCAGACGACTAAAGAGGAGCTGGATGAGAGATCTCCTTCCCTGAAGTAAGAAAGTTAACCAAGACCAGGAAGAGGTGCTGTTGGGTACTACTCTTCCTCGTTCTTAAAATGCCGATTTTCTTTACTTTAACATAACATCTGCTTATTTTCAAGACTTTGACAGGTGTGGATAAAAATATCAAGAGAACAAAA